ACACACATCAAAAAGGAATGAAGACACTAGTCTGTCCAAAATCTTGTTGGTCATGGTGTGCACACCTTTGATCCCAACACTTGAGATGCAGAAGGATTTCTGTGAGTTTGAGTCCAGCCTGGTCCACAGAGTGAGTTCCAAGACAAGCAGAGATACACAGTGATACCTTGTCTTAAAAAGGGGGGGGGGCTGGAGAGATGGCTCAGAGGTTAAGAGCATTGCCTGATCTTCCAAAGGTCCTGAGTTCAATTCCCAGCAACCACATGGTGGCTCACAACCATCTGTAATGAGGTCTGGTGCCCTCTTCTGGCCTGCAGGCATACACACAGACAGAATATTGTATACATAATAAATATTTTTTAAAAAGGCAAAAACAAAACAAGCGCAACATAGTAGCTATCTAAAGAGTCATTGTAGCTCGAGTAAACATCAGAATGAAATAGTCGTCCTCCCTGTATCCAGGGTAAACATCAGAACAGCTGGTTTCTAGGAGCAATTAGACCTTGAAGAAATTATCGTAAAAAACAGTGGTTGTTCTCTGTTATCCGGAGAGTCGTTGCTGAAGGAGCTCTACAGTCTATGCGTGGCTTTGATCACTGGATGATCCCGGCACACTTGGCGCAACTTACATTATTGGGCTGCAAACAGTACACAACAAGGACTAAAGCTGCAGGGGGTGATGTCTTCCTTCTCAAAGGATACAGATTAGATCAGGGCTTTGGTATGACGAACTTGTTTTACCCCAAAACCAGCTTCTGTGTAACAATCAATAACCACTCCTTTGCACAGCTGTTTGGGGCTCAGTTCTTCCAGGGAGGAACTGTTCCTCCCTGCTGTGATGGAACCTGAGTTGCACCTTGGAGTGACCCTCTTTCTTTGATCACCCCATGAAACACAGAGCACCTGATACCAAACTTTTGTGCAAGGCTGTGGCAGCATTGACCATCATCGCTCAAAATGGAACCAAAACAAATGTCCATCAATTTATGGGAAGAAAATACTGATCCAAACTGTAGCGGGGATGAGCCTTGAAAACAGTATGCAGAGTAAGGGGTCAGACACAGAACATTACATATCACTCCAGTGACAGGAAGCGTCCAGAAGAGACAAATCCATAGGTCCAGAGAGGAGATGACATGTTATTAGGATGAGGATGGGAAATGACACGTGACAGGTAATAAAGAATAAACACGGTTTATTATTTCAGAGTGATGAAACAAGATCTCAGGTAATGTTGCACAATGCCGTCCATGCATTAGGGAAAAAAAAAAACTTTTAAATGGGTCAGTATGGGCTGGAGGGCTAGCTCAGTGGTAGAGAGCTAGCCCACCATGCCTGTGACTCCAAGTTTGATCCCTGACACTGCAAAATACATCAAGCAAAGTTCATGCTGTAAAAATCACCTTAGAAAATTTTTTTGAAGACAGCGCTGGCTGTCCTGAAACTAAGTAGACTAGGCTGGCCTCAAACACACAGAGATCTGCCCGCCTCTACCTCTGTTGGAATTAAAAGGGTGTGCCACCATACCCTGATAAGAATTTTGTTCTTGCAGAGGACCGAAGACCTAAGTTCAGTCTCCAGAGTGGTTCACAACTACCTGTAACTCTAGCTCCAAGGGTTCTGGTGCCTCTGTGGACCCTACAGTCCCGTGCACAGAAGCACACACACACACACACAC